GCATATTTTTTAAACTTTTTCATTCTAACAATAATAACTCACAAGTCTCTTCAATAGGAAATATATGGTACATAAAATATTAATCCTAATATCTTATTGAAGAAATTATTATAGTGAAATAATTATTTTTCCTCTTTATGTATCAAAATGAGTTTCTCATCGAAATATAAATTTATTATCAAAAATAAATATTAACCAGACAGTATAAATAGTAGAACAATGAATCATTTACAATGCGAAAAAAACCACAGAACCCACTTCAAACTTTCAGTATCACCAATAATGATAATAAGTTTATAATAAATCTTCTTTAGAATAACTAGATGATCATAATAACATCAAGAGCATAAATATTGGCTGAACAATAATATATCATCATCACCATATATAAATTTCATGAAAAAAACATTAGATTTCACCAAGTAGGTATAGCAAAAAAATATCTCAGAGAGGACAAACTGTATATCGAAAATCGTTAAAATTATAGAGTTTATTACAATGATTCTTCACACAAAATTTGGACCAAAATCAATAAAGTTTTATCGTTTGATCATATAGAAAAAAACTCAAAACTTTAACTTTCTTTCTCTTTTTCTCTCGCTTCTTATTCTACACCTTTTGTTTTCACCATTCGCATGCTTCACTCTAATGCACATCTCCAATTCCTCATTTTATTTTAATAAATCAGATTTGGGTTCAATGTCTAGATCGTCCGATCCAAGCCCACCTATGGCTCGGACCTAACATATCTTTGTCTCATTTATCCTAAGTTGATAGTGTATATGATAAATTTTGACGAAATCATTATATATATTTTTTTAATCAGGTGAAATGATATTTCACTCTCCAAGTTTAAATTTGAAAACAAAAAAACAACATATAAATATATATATCCTAATTTTCTAGTTCTAATAACACATATCCTAATAACTATATCCTGATCCGTTCCAAATGAGGCCCCCCCCATTTTATGGTCCTTGGCCCATATCAAGGAAGAGTATGCATTTCTACCTCACCGCGTCGTTTAGGGAAGACTTATCGGATCATTAGAAGTGATCGATCCGACCCGGATTTAATTTCAGGGTGACAACGAAGATGAACAAACATCCATCCATAGATAGATCCGATACGGAATCGATCGGATTTAATCGTGATCGAACGAAGTGACACGCCAAAGCTATTCAAGTGTGGCCATAGATAGATCCCCTCACCCACGGCACGTACACGTAGTTGCGGACACGACGCATGCAGCAAAGCAGTACGTGGTGGCAGCGTGGGGTGTCTCAAATCTCGTGCTGTCGATCGATGATGATCTTTGCGGATTTTTCCCCATTTTTCACGCCTATTCGGAGTGGGGAGGATTAATTGCTACGCATGGCTGACGCAGTGCATTCACTCTGATACGTACAAGCCAAGCATGCAGTGGGTGGTGGCAGTGCAGCCATAGGTAGCGCCCCATCATTGTCTAAATTATTCAGATAGAGACCGGGCGGGGAGTACCGAGGAGACTTTATTGGAGTTGACCTTTGTATTCTGAGGGTGTTCCATACAGTGAAGCCACCGGCGATCGCCACTCAGGTGTACATCCATCTCCTCAAGCAATTACTCATCATTATAGCCGCTGCCGTCCCGTCGAGCTGATGACCTCCATCGACGACATCATCGATGACATGCATCATCATCAGTACAGGTCTAGCGATGACAAGGACATTCAAGTCAGCACACAAGATCTTGGGCAAACGATGGGAGTCATGGTGAGAAAATGCTCATAAGAGATATGAGAAGATAATAATGACGATATGACGCGCCGCGACGTCAGTCACGCTCGGATGACACTCTGCCCTAAAGAGAATAATAATGTCGACACAATGTGCGCTGATGTCACCCGCTCTCAGACAACGACAGACTCAACATGTTTGGCCGAGGCAGAGGAGAACAACGACCGAGGCTCGCCCATGCCCTGTGGTAGTTCGGTTCTCCACGCAACACCAATGGCGATGTCAAACGCCATCAGAGGTACGATCCTGCTCCCACGGACAGACACATCAGGTAACATTAAACTGACCTATAAGTACCCCCGAGTTCCAAACGAGTGAAAGGGGGGGAGCACTTGTTCATCTGAAACCCCTCGACATCAACTAACTTGATCGTCGGAGGGATCGGGTCGAGCCTCCGACCCGACCTGTGTGCAGGTACCAGGACGGGGTCGCTTCTTCCCGACGCTGTGGTAAAGCTTTCCTCCCGACGCAACGTCCCGATCGGACCACCGGGGCAATCTCGAGGGACGCCGTACAAGATCCTAATCATTCGGACCCCCAACCAAGCCGCATCGACCCCGAGACCATGGCATAAAGTTGTTTACACTAACAAGATAGATCACCAAGTAAGTAGTGGTGTGGTGTGGTCGGGGGACTCAAAACACTGGTTAGAAATGAAGTGTCCCTTCTTTAGTGTTTCTGCTTCCATTAATTCACTGTCAGAGAGGTTTAACGTAAGAGACTGGCGACGCACTTCACCCAACAAAGCGTGACCTCTTCTTCTGCCGCATCTTCTTCAATGTGGAGAGTCATTGAAGGGAGCACCAGAGGATCACAAGGTTTCCCATGGTGTCATTTATTCCCCTGATAAGTCTGCCTTCTTC